CTCTCTGCAGAACAAGTCCCGCTTTGATGCCCGCACGAGCCCCTGCGGAGGCCAGCCGGGGCTGGGGGCAGATCCAGCTGGGCAGGAGGAGGCCATGCCGCTGGGCGAGGAGACCCCTGAGGCGCTGTTGGAGCTGCTGAGCGACAGGCACAGCCCCTGGGCCCCGCCGCCGGACTGCAGCCCCCAGGACCAGCACCTGCGGGAAATGGCTGTGCTGGCACCCGAGCTCGTCCGTGGCTCCTGCGTCTTCCAGGGCACGTTGGCCAGGGAGTAAGTGCAGCTGCTGGTGCCTGTAAAGCTACCCATGTCTAGGCCAGGAAATGATGTCTTCCTGTTGGGAGGGAAAACATCCTGGGAAAAGGACACCCTCCCCATCCCAGGGTCTTCCCAGATGCCACTATTGCAGCTGGGGTAGAACTGCTGGCTCCCCCACCCAGCGTGTTGCACTAATCTGTGTTACACGTATGTCACGTGGATCAACACTACCTGTCCCTGTCACCTTGGCCACGAGGTGGCTCGGGGACAAGTTGGTCAAACCTATCTCTTTGCAGGTGGAGGAGGTCGACGAGGGTCTGTTGCAGTTAGAGCAGCTGGAGGAGCTCATCCTCAGTGCCAACCGGATCAGCAGGATAACCTCGGCCAACCTGCCCCGGACACTGAAGGTGAGCGAGCAGTGCCTTGCAGCAGCAGGACGGGGAAGAAGGTCCCACCTGGGAACGCAGTGCGAGCCAAGCAGCTCAAAGGAGTGCCAGCAATGGCTCATTGCAAAGGGTGTTTATTCCCTCTGTCCCGGGCAGGTTCTAGAGCTCTGCTGCAATGCTGTGGCTGATCTGCAGGATCTGTGCGCTCAGCCTCCTCCGGAGCTGCAGCACTTGGGACTGGGATACAACATGCTGTGCGGCCCTTCACAGGACAAGTACCTCACTGAGGACTTCTGGTAACGCCACAGGCTGAACATGGGCTCCTAAAGGGAGGTGGGCAGATATGAACAGGTGACCTCAAGCCATCAAGGTGGCCCATGTTAAGAAATTACAGCCCTTCAGCAGAGTTGTTCCTTTGCTCTGTGTGCAACGCCTGTGCAGAGCGCTCTGTCTCTGCTGTCTTCTGGCCAAGGTGTGGAATGGGGAGATCACCTGGGGAACTGCCTTGACACCCTGCCCACTGCAGTTCCCATGTCCCTGGGCAGCTTCCTTTTTCCATGCCCTTTACAAAGCCCCTGCTGGGAGTCTGCTCTGGGAAGGATCTAAAGCTTAGGCTGCATCACCAGATGATGCAGTGGGATGGTTAATGGATGCTAAAGGAACATGGTTTTGCATTGTGGGGCAGACTGGCAATGGACCATATGGCTCAGGAATTTGGACTTGGCCTCTTGAGACTGTACCATTGGATTCCCCAGTTTGACCTAGTTTGTGCCGGGGAACAACAATTTTTGTTTCTATTTTTGACCCAGGGCAGTAACTCTATTCTCAGATGGATGCTGTTTGCCTAACCTTCTTCTCTGGGCTCTCTCCTTAGGCCAAATCTTGTCTCCCTTGACCTGAGCTTTAACAACTTGACGGATCTGCTGGGGCTGGTCTCCCAGCTGTCTGGTCTGCAGAAGCTCCGCATCCTGGTGCTCCAAGGGAACCCACTGGCTCTCATTCACACTTACAGAGGCTTCCTCGTGGACAGCCTGCCCAAGCTCTCCATCCTCGATGACATCCACATAGGGCCTGACGAGAGGCACCGGTTCCACAGTTTAGCGAGGCAGCCAGGTGAGCCTTTGCCTTTGAACCTGTCCGTGCTGACCCTGTGATTCGGGAGGTGGTTTCATCATGGTTGAGCTAGGATTCTTCAGGGCAAACTCTGGATCCAGTATTGACTTCCTTCTTGCCTCTCCTCAAATAGAGATCTTTCTCTGTGCCTTTTTACCCCACTAGTACAAGTGGGGAGACAGGAGAGGACCTTACAGCAGTGTAATTACAATCGAGGTAGTTTTAGCCTTAGTCAGGTCCGAAGATTGCAAGAACAACTTAGTCCTAGCACTGCCTTGGTGTCATGGCCTGCCCCCGTCTTTGCTTCCTAGACACCGTCTGGTTTCAGACCGTGCATTTCCCTCTCAAGCTGCTGAAAGAGGAACATCTCCACTGGGGAAGATGCTTACACGGGTGCTGCACTGTCAGCACGAAGTGGTGCCGCTTCTGCAGTGTGACACATCCCCGACTGAGATGAGAGCAGGGGGCTGGGGACACCCGGGGGTGGGAAGCCCCTTTTGATGGCCCCTACTCAATAAGTTTATGTGCTGGATGTACTCTTTGAAGTCTAAAATGTTAACTAGGGAGGCAAAGCAGCCAAGCCAGGAGATGTTTGCATGGCTTTGGAGTGACCCCATGTGGCAGTGACTTGTCACAGCGTTAGCACTGGGTGGCAGGGAGGGATGCCAGGTGGTGGGACACGGCATCCTGGAGGCTTCCGCTTACTCTGTGCCTTCCTCGCTCTGGAAGGAGCACACTGCAGCTTCACAGCAAGATTGTCTTCCTTTCAGAGCTGATCAGAAGCGAAGCGCGGGTGGTTGTGAGCATTGGGGAAATCAAGGGAGTCCCTGATCCCAGCGCTCGTCAGCAGCTGGAGGTTGGTTCTGAGGCTCCAGTGATCACCTACAGCTACTGCGTGACATACAAGTTTGTGGAGGAAGAGGAGACTGAGGACGGTAGCAGCACTGAGGTTTGTGCTTAACTGAGATCTTGAAAGCAACAGGCAGTGTCAGGACACAGCAAGGGGGACTTCACCTGCAGGCTGCAGAGCGAGGCCGTTTGTAATGGACCTAGTGTGGGCAGCAGCAGTATTGGGGACAGAATTCATGCATGGCCACATCTGTCAGGACAAGTCCCTGCTGGCCGCATTCCCTGTCTCTCTCGGGGAGCCCAGCGCTGCTCTGCATGTGGGAGTGCATTCACAGCCCCCCTCCCGCTGACTGCGGCAGACCCCTTCCCTGGCGCTGATGCCCCTTATTCCCATGATGAGGGTGAGCTGGGGAATGGGATTTCGGAAGCAGCTCTGCCCCCTGGTCCTGATGCAAACACAACCAGACATGCCCTGCCAAGAGATCCCTCTCTGTTCCAGGTAACAAAAATCCATCAGCATCCCATCATGGCCACGCTGGATGTGGACAGCTCTGCTCTGGACACGAGGGAAACAAAGGGCCACCAGGAGCCTGCAGCCACGGAGGAGTCCAAGGCTCACTCTGGTAATGAGGAATTATAAGTCCCCTACCCCACTGCTCAGGGCAGGTTTATGGCTCTTCCTGGCATGTGGTGGCATTGGGACATCCCTTGCAGCGTTGGCTGCAGCTGGGCTGTTACTGAGACCGATGGATAATGAATTGGCACTGCTCATGTCCCGGGGGTCCTTCCTGTCCTTGGGAAGGAGAGGTCTTTCCTCAGAGCTTTTTTGTGTCCCTGCACAGCAAAGGTGTTTGTCACCCCTGGAAAGCCCTGGGCAGACACCATCGACTGCAGCTACAGGAAGGAGCACACTGCCAAGGACTTAGTGGGGCTGAAGTCCTATCTGGCGTCTGGAACGATCGTCTCGGTCATGGAGGAGAAGGTGAGTGTGTGGCAGAGCTGGATGAAAGAGGAAAGAGCTGCTGAGAGGCCCAGGAGTGGTATTGTGTTCCCTCTGGGAGGCAGCCCAGGATGGTGGTGACCCCGGACCAGGGTCCTCGGGCATCCCAGCCCTTGCAGCACTAGCTCCTCTCTCTGAGCAGGTGCTCTCATGGCCTGTCGATGCTGATCCAGAAGAAAATGCAGTCACAAAGGGAAAGGCAAAACGGGGGCTGCAGAACGGTGCCAAGGTAGGGTGTTGGGAGAGAACGATGTCCAAACACCATCTGAAGTGCAAAAATAATGATGGAGGAATGAGGGCCCTTCTCATGGGCCAGTGTGGTGTGTCACAGAATCTCCCCTCCATCCCAGACCTCTTGCCAAAGTCTTCCTTTGCTAAGGGAGGAAGGCAGCAATGGTCGGTCTGGATGCAGTGGTGGGGAAGGGGCTGGGTCGGGGTTGCTTGCTGTCTGATAAAGGGGCCCCAACCCTCTGCTGATGCTTGTCCCCATGCTGGTGCCCTGCAGGTTCCTCTGCCCAGGGACAAGCAGAAGAAGAAGAAGAAGGAGGAGCCATGTGAACTCCGCAGCGACCCTCCCATTCAGAGGACTCTGGGCTCTGGAAGGGTGACTCTGGAGACCCTGCTGGCCACCGAGGACCTGGTGGCAACTGTGTGTGACTTTGGGATCCTGGTCACTCAGCAGCCGCTGCAGCCACCAAGTCTGGAGGAGAAGGTAAGGAGCGTGTCCCGGGGCAGGGCAGTGAGGCAGGGCTGCCAGGGACGGGCAGCGCTGCAGGCTAGCCGTGCAGCTGGCCCAGGCATCCCTCCCGTCCATCCCTCAGTTCTCTCCATAAAATGGGGCTGAAATAATCCTGCCTAAGCACCATCTGTCACTGCTGGTATCGTTGTTTAATGTAGATATTAGCAATGAGTACTGCTACTTTTTATAGGCCAAGATTAAGAAAATAGATGAGTTTATTTTTCCATCTGAGAGTGTGAAAGCAACCACTTATGCTTCCTCTGATGCTCTCTCTCTCTCGACATGGCAACACGCACTGGCTGTACCGACACTTTCTATTTCCTGGATTCTCTTCTCCAAGCAGCCCCACCACTGTGCTTCTGCTTCCCCTCACCCCTTTCCCTTGCTCTTTAAATCCCGGTGACAGAACCCAGATGGTGATGGGTGTCACAGGACTGAATGCGGGCAGTGAATTTCAACACAGCCTAACTATGGAAACATCTCTCTCCACAGGACAGGAAAAAAGGCAAAGACAAGAGCAAAAAAACAAAAGCAGAGGGAGAAAGTCAGGCCAGCCGGAAAACCACAGCATCTGCCAAAGGTGACAGAGACTGGAGCTGGCTGGGCGGAGGGTGGCGTGTGCGAGAGCAAACACCAGCGGTGCCCGGCTGGGAGGCAGCCGCAGGTCCCCACTACTCTGCCGGCTCCACCGAGCAGGGCGCTTACTCATCCTGAGCTTCGGGCTGTGAATACATCCATTGACTATGGGGCTGTAGGATTAGACACACGCCCAGACACCTTGTTGAATCAGTGTCTGAATAAGCACTGAGGGTGGGCTGCTGGCTCTCCCGGGAGCGACACACACCTACCAGCTCTGCGTGCCAGGGGAGGAGGGCAAAGCAGATTTTTGGGTGAGAGGTGTGCTGCCCACTGTGTCGGCTGCCAAATGTGGCCGGTGGCATGCACTGGTGTGGGCAGCTGGGAGGAGTACTGTCTGGGATGAATAATAAGGTCCTCATCCGTTTCCAACTCACACCTCAAAGGGCTTTGCAGAGGCGATTATTGTTCTTTCTGGTTTAGAGATGCACAGAGAGCCCCAAGTGCCCCACCCAGCCCATGGCGGGGCCAGGAACAGCCCCCGGTCTGCTGTCGCCCATGAAGAGACCACCCTGACCCCTGACGGGTGTCCCTGCCTCCCCAGTGCAGAGCTCATGGTCTGCGCAGCCAGCAGCGTTGTTTAAACCACTGGAGACAAACCTCACCCTGCCTCTTGCAGGTTATTTTTCCAGCAGTCTTGTTTTGACTACAAAACCAGCAGTGCCAGCACATTGGAGGGGTAATGCAAGAGCAGGAGGAAGTGGGGGAGGGAAGGGGTGGCAGGGTGATGCTGAAAAGCTGCTCCTGGGTCGAGGAGGGCATGGAGTGGGCCAGGCCTCTGCAGCGCCGCTCGGAGCTACCAAAGGAGCTTCATGTCCCTGCTCTGGCATCAGATTTAGTTGCTAATTTAAGAGAGCAGTTAACCCCCTTCCTCTTCTCCAGGATGCTTTTCCGTGCCATGTCACCCACGGCGAGATCCCCATCTTTGGGGAGGATCTCAGACCCCTGCAGCCTTAGGTTGCGTCTGCACTCGAGGAAGCCCGACGGCCTTCCCAGCTACCTGAAAAGAAGAAAAAATGCCTTGAATTATTGTTCCCCACAAGAAGATGTGTATTCGCAATATATGCTCAGGCTGTTGCTGAAGCAGGGAGCTGCTGTCAAACAGCTGAAGTTCAGCAGTGGTGTTTTTTACTTCCTTTCCACCCCAGTGCCTGTGGTCAGTGTGCATGCATGAGGTCTAACCTTTAGCCTAAGCGAGAATGAACCGTTTCTGCAGGGGGTTGTGTGGCCGGAGATGGTGTTGGGTGCACAGAAAGCCGCTGCTGATGCAGGAAACCCAGAGTGATTAGAGACTCGTGCTTAATTTCATGTCCCCTTATGCCTGTGCAGGTGGAGGCCTGGCTGGCTGCACAGCAAGGCCACTGAGTGCGTATTTCAAAACGATAATGCCTAAAAGTCAGCTGCCCTCACAGCTTGCTGCACCCAGAGCTGGCAGTGTCCCGTGACTGTGTGTGCCACTGTGACTCATGATTCACAAGTACACCCCGATTGCGGCCGGGGTGGCAGACACGGCCGGGGGGGCAGGTGGGCTGCTCAAGCACCGCTGCACGCGGTGCCTGCAAGCCCTGGCTGCTCCATGAGTCACCAAATTGCACCGTGGTCGTTTGGCACTTGCTCATCACCTGGGTACCGGGTACCACGTTGGAGCCGCGGTAGTGGCCATGCTGCGAGGCACAGGGGACAGCTCCCAGCCCTTGCTCTGCTGCAGCTCTGCGTCCAGCGAGGCTGCGTAGGGACCGGCAGACTCACACCCGGGAGCTGAGCCTGATTTGCATCCCTCAGTCAGTAAATGCACACAAATAATAAGTCCTCTCAGAGGAATTGGGATCCCTTCCAGACGTCTCAAAGAGGAAAGGCAGCAAGCTTTGTCTTGAGCAAACAATTTGCCCAGACATTGAAGGATGTTTTCAGAAGTAGTCTCACGTAGGTCTCATTTTACCCCACACTTGATTTTCCAGGATCCTTGAAATGATTTATTTCTGCATCTTTCTTTTTTCCTAGAAATTATAGAGTTTAACAACAAAAAGCAAAATTGCACCCAGATCGATTGCCTGCTTAAAGATGCTTTTTGGGCTTCTTATCCAAAGTCATACTCAAATAGATTTTCCCTCAAGGCCCGAAGTGGCTAATGTGGGCATTCCCCCCCTGCGCACTGCTGCTTTCAGGGTGATTTACTCTGTCAAGAAAATGACAGATTTACTTCTTTCCACAGGAAAAAGAAAAAACAAAGACTCTGCTGAACTGG